AGAGAGAGGAACACTCCTACACTGCTGGTGGGACTGCAAACTAGTTCAACCTCTGTGGAAAGCAATATGGAGATACCTCAAAGCGATACAAGTAGATCTACCATTTGATCCAGCAATTCCACTACTGGGCATCTACCCAAAAGATCAAAAGTCACTTTATGAAAAAGACACCTGCTCTCGAATGTTTATAGCAGCACAATTCACAATTGCAAAGCTGTGGAAACAACCCAAGTGCCCATCAATTCATGAGTGGATTAATAAAATGTGGCATATGTATACCATGGAATACTACTCAGCTGTAAGAAACAATGGCGATATAGCACCTCTTGTATATTCCTGTATACAGCTGGAACCCATTCTACTAAGTGAAGTATCTCAAGAATGGAAAAACAAGCACCACATGTACTCCCCAGCAAATTGGTATTAATGGATCAACACCTAAGTGGACATTTAGGAGTAACATTTATCGGGTGTTGGGAGGGTGGGAGCGGGGAGGAAGGGACGGGTATATACAACCACAATGAGTAAGATGTGCAACATTTGGGGGATGGATATGCTTGAAGCTCTTACTCAAGGGGGAAGGGGGCATGGGCAATATATGTAACCTTAACACTTGTACCCCCATAATACGCTAAAATAAAAAAATAAATAAAATAAATATTTGTTGAGTCTAAGAATAAACATAGGGAGGAAAGAAGGAGGATATGTGAGTAGGATGAAGGTGAGGAAATGCTGGTAAAAGAGCTACATCCTTATCTTCCATAGTAAAAGTTAATAGATAATGTCTACAACTTAAAACAAGAAATAGAAGGGTAATTTTGCTATTTTTGAAAAATAAAGATCAGAAGAGATCAGTTTAAAAGATAAAAAATTTTTGCTGCTGGGGAGTCGGAAAACAGAAGTGGGAAATAGCAGAGGGTTGCTACTTTTTGTTATCAATCTTGCAGAACTCTTTCTCTTTTTAAACACTGACGTGTATACTTTAGAAAATGATGAAAATTACAAATCCACTAACATGATTATTCGCCACCTAAGTTACTTGGTAATTAGCAGACTCACCTGACCTCACAAACCAGTACAAAACTGCCATTCCTTCAATATTCCAAAACACATTCTTATTTTAGAAAGATGGAAAATATAGAAAATAGGAAAAAATAACCTAGGGCAGCATCATTCAAAGATAATCATGTTCAATATTTTCGTGTAACTGGGTAATTTTTTTCCTAGTCATTTTTTCAATAACTGAGTTCATACTGGCCATGTAAGTTTGTATGCCGAATTCATTTCTAAAAACACTGAAACTAAGTAAGAGAAAAAGATCATTTGCGGGGGTGGGGGAGGGTACGGAAGCCAACCTCTCACTTCTCATAACATAGCAATTCAGTATGCAAATTCTACTGAAAAGAAGTCAATGACATCATTTTCATACAAAAAAGCAGAAAAAGCAGAAAAAAATGTATAATTTTACAGGTGCTAGAATCAACCCACCTTGGCTTCAAATCCCAGATCTACTGCTTTCTTGCTGTAGGATAGACACGGTCATGACCTCAACCAGCCCCAGCTTCTCTGACTGTGAAATAAAAATAATGGCACCTACCTGCTAGTGTTCCTATGAGGAGTGCCTGTTCAACAGTAAGCAAAGGACCCAGCAGGTAGTGAATGCTCAGTAAACATTAACAGCAACTGTAATTATTATGATTAATAACCATCTAGTGGGTAAAACTTACACCAAAAAAATACGTAAGATCAAGCAAGATAAAGGACTCTAACAAAGCCAAACACATAGGGTCAGCAGTGTGAATGGAGAGACAGGATGGAAGCCCCTCTTCTCTGGTAATTGGCACTCAGTATTGATTTAATGAAGTGAATCACGGATGCACTTTGATGTCAAAGCTGAGGAATTCTGGAGCAACGTTAGTGACCTCATCAGACTTTTGGATTAAGAAATGGATGTATGAGGAGGGTAAGTTATTTAGGGTGGAAACTGTCAAAATGAGAGTGCAGCAGAGAACCCTCTAAAGTAGAGGTCTTCTGTGGTTGGAAACTTCCTGAAACACATGAATTAATTAAGTTTTGAAATACAGTTGTCCCTTAAAAAACATAGGTTTGAACTGCTTGGGTCCACTTACATATGGCAAACGTGATGGAAAACACAGTATTCCTGGTATGCAAAACTCACATATAGGGAGGGTTGACTTTTCCTATACACGGGTCCCCCAGGGCCGACTGTGGGCCTTGAGGACGAGCATATGTAGGGGTCCTGGAACCAATCCCTTGCTTATACCAGGGGACCAACATACTGTGTCTGGTGTACCTGAAACAGAAAGAGTACCAGGCAGGAAGCTTTGTAAGAAAAGCATGAGGGCCACAGAAGTGCTCGTTCTTAGACATGACACACACCTCTAGTGACTGAGGGCCCTTCAGGGCATTCCAGGGAGAGGGGTGAGAAGAGACAGCAAGATCAGCCCGTCTGTGAGGGAGCTAACTTTCTAGAAAAAAAAGCACGTCCAGAACATGTGTCACTTGATCTTCCTGTGGAATATAAACACATTAAGAAATAAAACAACAAATGCCAGGCCAGACGACCTTTCTGTCCTTTATCCTCCTAGGGAGATAATCTGGGAGACGAGGGAGGATTCAAGGAATCAGGGAACTGCGAGAGCTCTGACTAAAAACCTCAAGGATCCGATTTCAGTTCTGTTACTAATTAGCTGAACAGTCACATTTCACTGCAGTGTCAGTTTTCAGATCTGTAAATTGGGGGTGTGACTTCTGTTCTACCTACCTCAAAAAGTATCAGGAAAGAGATAACGGGATAATGCTCAAATCGGTCTGAGTCCAGTCAGGAAAGAGAGGACCACACCAGGCTTTTGTTATATTTTTTTTTGTAGAGAGAATAGTTGACTAGGAATAACGAGTTATTAGCTGAGTTATTGAAAAGGCCAAAAACACAACATTAAAGCACGAAGGAAACAGCTACTGCAGCTACACCCCTAATGCTGGCAGAACAAAAGGAGGAGGGTGGGATTATTAGAATTTAGAGGTTGTAAAGACGAGCACCCGCACAGCTGACACTTGGAGGAGGGAATGCCGTTGGGCTGGGCTGAGCTTAGAGACAGGGCCCCGTGTGGCTGGGACCTGGCCCCTGAGTGGTGACCCTGGTCAGCTGATGCTAGTGTCTCCAAGGTGGGGGCACAATAAAGCTGCTTCTGCAAAGATCGGAACAACTGCAAACTGGATTCGTCTGCCGCTACCGCACGGAACTGCCCCTTCTAGGGTTAGGAAGGAGGCTGGGCCAAGGCTGGCAGAACCGGAAGCAGGTTGGCAGGAGCAGGGCTCTTCGAAAATATGGAGGAGAATGGCAAGAGTGTCATTTGCTCACTCTCTCCCTTTTGTTTTTGTTTTCCTGAAATGAGTACAACACCCACCAGAATGAATAAAATGAAAAAGAGGAAAATACTAAGTACTGTTGTGGATGCAGAACAATTAGAACTCTCATACATGGCTGACGGGAATGTACACTGGACAACACTTTTTGGAAAATGGTTTGGTAATATCCACTAAAGCTGAGCATACACCATGCCCTATCACCCAGAGATCCCACCCCTGTGCGCACACAGCCTGTATGATTCCATTTATAAGGTGTTCAACAGTAAGTGAATAAAACTCTCTTAGCAGTGCTCTTAGCAGTCAGGAGAGTAGTTACTTTGGGGGTTGGGGATGAGGTGGGAGCTCTAGGTGGGATGAAGTGGGAGGTAAGTTTCTAGCATGTTCTGCGTCTTGTTCTGGGGGCTGTTTTCATAGGTGTAATCAAGTTATAAAAAAACTATCAAAATTCATCAGGCTGCACACTTATATATATATACACTTTTATATAAGTACATTATACTGCAATAAAAGCTAAATGTGACTCCATTTCACTTCTGGGTATATACCCCAAAGAAATTAAAGCAAGAACTCAGAGACATTTGTACTCTCATGCTCATGGCAACGTTACTGACAAAAGCCAAACGGTGGAAGCAACTCAAGTATGCATCAATGGATGAATGGATTAACAAAAGGCTGTGTATACATACATGGAATATCATTCATCCTGAAAAAGGACGGAAATTCAGACACACACTATAACATGGATGAACCCTGAAGACATCACACTATGTGAAATAAGCCAGTCTCAGAAAAGGACAAATTCTGTGTGATTCCACTTATATAAGGTACTTAGAGTAATGAATCTCACAGAGACAGAGAGTAGAGTGGGGGTTGCCTGGGTCTACAGGGATAGGCCAAGGGATAGTTAACAGATACAGAGTTTCAGTTTTACAAGATGAAAAGAGTTCTGGGGATGGATGATGGTGATGATAGCACAAGAATGTCAAAATGTACTTAATACTACTGAACAGTACAAGTAAAAATTAAGATAGTAAATTTTATATGTAACAAAAAATAAAAATTTAATTTTGAATTTCAAAAAAATTGAATGTGACTCTACTATCTACCCTCCAAGTAAATGCATCCTAATCAAGTTATTAACTTACCTCTGTAGGATATTCCGGAATTTTCACTCCTCTTCTCTTACTGGGCTACTCTGATCCCTACCTTTTTAATTCTGTTGTGCACAATAAGTGAAAAATGTCCAAGCAGCAAGGTGGGATGCTTTACATTCATGTAACTCCTTATACCAAACGATGCTATGACACCCTTCATCACATTTATACTCACAACCCCCTTGCAAGAAAAACGGTCAGAGAAATGTTACCCTCACTTTAAATTTGAGGAAACTGAGAAAAAACTCACAGCCAAAAGAAGACACAAATAAAGCTCAAGTTTCCTGATAGCAAATCCAAGCTGTAAGACATCCTTATAGTACCCTCAAGTTCATTACTAGACTTTAAAAGCAAATTCAATTTACAAATTAGTTTTGTGCTTCTATTGCTCCCATAAGAAAATGCTTAATATTTATACAGATCTTTTTTATACATTGAAAAACAATTTCACTGTTTGACTTGAAAACAGTTTATTTAATTTATACAAATAACTACTAAATACAAAAAGTAGATTAAAACAAAATAGTTATTTTTTTCTGGCAGAGTTTAAATGCACATAATGGATAATTCTGAAGAAAATGCATTTTCCCCACAGCGTTCAGGACTAAAATTCTACTGAAATCTTTGCTTCTAAATCAGTAATATATTCGGTGGTGTCACATGGGTAATGGCTAAATACGTTCTGCATATGAACTGAAAAAAAGTTACAGTCTACACACATACAAATGTGAAGCACTTAAAATGTGAATTTAACTGATAATAAAAGAAAATGTCCATTTCAGAGTATAGTGTTAAAAACATTTCGGTAATAAAATCATAAGACCACATAAAAATAAGCTTTAACATATGCACAAAGCGGTTTTGTAAAAACTGCTAAGTGCACAAGTAATAAATAATTTGCAAAGTTGTGTATAAACAATTCCTAATGTTCGGCATCATTGTAAACATCAGCACATGTGTAAAATGCAGCAAAGTCTGACATTACATTTTGTTTTGCCAAATTGAATTCCTATTATTCAAAGACAGACCAGTGGAGTACGCAGCCAACATTTTGGCAAGTTGGGTCTTTAAAATTAAGAGTAACAGTGCAAGTAAGGAATGCAAAGAATTCCTAGTGCAATAAAGAAGAGAAGCACAGGCAATATTGCTGATTAAAAATTCGCCACCTCCTCGAGTTTCCCGTGGGGAGTGTCTAGGAGACTTGTGAAAGATATGCAAAGCCACTGTCTTAATGCCCAGATCTCTTTTAGGATTTCTCTGTGTTCCTCCAGTTCCCTACCTTTGCAACAGTGTCTGTCCAACATTAGTTTCTGCAGTGTGAACAGTTCGTGAAATGCCCGGTTCACAGTCATTGAGCGAGGTTAGGGTGGTTTTGGTGTCTCCCCAACACACGGCTGGGTAAGATGTCTGCCGTAGTGAAGCAGCCACTTGGGGAGGGAGACAGATGGATTCTGTTCTGACAACCAGGCCAGCGTTAGGTCCCAGCTGGACAACAACAACATCAAATCTTCCTTCTTGACACCGTGAAAATGTCAACAGTCAGTTTTCAATTTGTCTAGGGAATTATCAATTTTGGTCAAAGTCTTTTTGATACGCAGAGCTGTGAGTCTTGCAGATGGATTCTGATACCAGCATTCTTTCATCAGCTTGGCCAGAGAGGTTAATGTCTGAAGAGAGAAAGAACAAATGACACAAGGACAAATTGGCTTTTTAGTGGCCCTGGCAGCTGGGCTATCATGTCAACTGTTTTGAAAAACTCAGAAGGTCTTTTGTGGTTAAAGTGATGTTATTGTCATCTTCTCTAAACAAATAATCCAGGCCTTACCTACTGATAAAGAAGTCACTGTTAGAATTTTATGAACTCTGTCCTTTGGACTTCTAATATTACCAACTTACTTTATTACATAAATGACATAGGCCAGGTTGAACCCTTTGATGATTTTATGGGTGCTAAACGCAATAATACTGACCTAGAGATAATACTGAAATTTCCAAACAGGGTCATTTCTCAATGTCTTAGATCTGCTACTACTTATGAGTAGCAATACAGGATCTTCAGCACTGAGGAGCCTGTGTTTGGGATTTCAGATACACAGAGGTGGAAAAGAGAATAAAAGCATCAGTTAGAGTCTCCTGTTTTAAACATGACACTGCAGTTCTAGGGCTAGGAGCAGTAGTAGTGAGTCTCTGGATTGCTGGGGCTGGTTGATCATAGATATTCTTGTGCATGTTGTCATTCATTAGCAAGATCTATTAGATACGGCTTATGCAAGAATTTTTATGAACCTACTCAACTAGGTCTAAGATCCTTTTACATAAAATAGGGAGAGAAGACACATACGCAGGGCAGATCACTCAGATACTGTACCAGGTAAAATTCAAGGGCAAGCAAGTAGCAAAGAACTGGGGATTGCTCTAAAACTAAGAAACCAGTGTTCTTACCGGGTCTGAGAACCATCTGTTGGGTATGTTTGGCCTCTGTTGATCCACACAGACTACTTTCCTCATATCTTCAAAACTTGGGTCATTGGGAACCACATCGTAGAATGGTGGCTTATAATCCTCCACTATACCTGCACATAAATTGTGTTGGGTTAGCAAGACAGTGAAGGTTCCTTAAGGCTTTATTGATGAGTGTCACAGATTTTAATACAACAGGAAAAAGGTACTAATCACCTTGCTCACATCTCATGGCAGTTCTGGAAGTTATAAGTGGGTCCTAAAATAAGTGGAGAACAAGGCAATAGAAATATACCCTGCTGGGAATTGGAGGAAGAATAACTGTTAGAAGAAAACATGTGAAAACCTCTCAGGTAATCACAATTATTAACAAAATACTCCAATAGTGTATATTAATAGTTCGATAATGCCCAACAGGAGCACTGGAGACCTAGGATAAAAATTCCTTTGGTGATTAAAAAAGATACAAGACATCTAAAGAAAGTATATGAATTGTGGTTTCAAATTATAAATAGAAGTAAAAAATCATCCACAAACTAGAGCTAGAGGCAAATAAATGAATCAAGACTATCATCAAAATACCCCAATTTGTTAAGAAATTATTTTGTCAAAAAAAATCATTGTTATAAAAACAATCCCTTCTATTAAGAGGAATGCAAATAATGTAAAATGATTTCCTCATCATTCATTCTATGTGTACTGGGTACCCTCTGTTAGACACAGCTGCCTATTTGATGGCTCCATTATTTACTCTCAGATTGTTGGCACAAAATAAAATGTAGAGGGGACAGCCACTTGGGAAGGCAGAGGAGACTAAAGATGGAGAAACTCTTCCCTCACCTCAAAGCAAATATGAAAGTGACTAATTTCAGCTTCTATCCCTGCATAATTTCCAATGGCTTGGAAGCCTTTTATGTTTTTTTCTGCAAAATTACATCAATTCCTTATTTTAAATAAAAAAAATTAAAACATCAGCATTTGGAATTAGAAAACCGACTCTCCACCTTACAGAGATAAAACCAAGATATCTATGATTTCCTTTCCCTCTTCAAAGTCTTTACCAATGAGGTCAGTAGGTAACTTGGTTTACTGCCCTCTTGCCTTCCTCTATGTAACTTTCTTCTATTCTTAAATATCCAAGAAGTTGGTAGAGGAGACAGAGGATGTGAGAAAAATTATCATTTAATTTTTTCTAGTTCCCACAAGCCACCCGAAAAGCTTCAATCCCCTTTTCTTTTGTCATAGAAATTACTTAACAGTGGAAATCCATTCTCCCAAATCCCATATAAATACAAACCATTTCTGCAAAGATTAAATATGATAAGGTGCATCTGTTCAAGAAATACTACAGATTTTTTTTTAAAAACTTCACAAATTAAACTAAATAAGAGTTTATTTTAAAAATGGAAAGTGGTCTATATTTCTAAAAATTCTAGTTAACATTCTTTCTTAATTCTAAATAACTTATCTACATTGTGTAACTACATTTGTAATGTGTATCAGTCAATGGATTAAACCCTTCCTAGCACATCATAAACCACACATATTGGGCATAAACAGCAGCTTTCAGAAGACTTGGAACACCTTCTTGCAGAGGCCCTACCTACTTCTCTTGTAAGGATCCCAGAAAGTATTCAAACAAAAATATTTTAGTGTTTTCAGTGCTAACAGACAACACCTAAAACACAACTGAACATGGACCCAAAGAGGTGACTTACACCTTTTCTGAGGGCCAAATGAATTTACAGAAAACAGTAAGAGATATGCCCTTCACTATCAATTTTTCTGAGGGAGAACACATTTAATAGCATGGCTTAACTGTTAAAAAAAAAAAAAAAAACTATCCTAACAGCCAGCTATTTGGGGTAATTTGCCTGTTCAGCTTAAGATGGGTTATGTGAAATTTGAACAGTAATACAAATTTGGATTTTTCTATACATGCAAAAGAAAATAAAGCATGGCTGGATTTTTAAAACATAGGTCTGATGACATCCAGCAATGAATTTCACTACAGGAGCTGAAGTTTTCCCTTGTTTCTATTTCCTATATCTTAATCTTATTAAATGCCCCTGTGTTTTAACAAAAGAAGTCAAGTTTTTTGTTGTTGTTGTTGTTTCTTTTTTAAAAAGACCATTTAACTGATTATGCCTGGGACTTAGTCAAGCCTTTCTTTCTTCAACTATTCACCAAGTATTGATGGTTTCTATCTGACACTGGCCATGCTTCTCCAAACTAAAATAAAGCTGGGACTAAACTCCAGCAGTCACTTGGATCACCTTCTGATCAAGGAAAGCATTATTTCAATCAGTAGAATGTACATTATGTACCTACTATGTATAAAATGCACATTAAGTGGTAAAGGTGATAAAAGTATAAGACGTGCTCTTGTTTTTCAAGGAAATTAAAATCTAGTGGAAGAGCAGAACAAGTCCCTCTCTTTTTTCCTTAGATAACGGAAATCTTGTCAATAAGAACCTCAAAATTTTTTCACACCACCACTTATATTTTGAAAGGCAAAAGTGGATTCGAAATTTCCATTTCGTTTTCACTTGTTAGCTCCTAAGTTGATTCCATAACCATTTTGATTCCTCCAACTGTGTATGCCTGAGATCTTGCTTGGCGGAAGGGTTACAAAAATGAAAAAGATGCGGTGCCGGTGGCGAGGAGTGGAAGAATGAAAAATAATATTACAGACTAGCATAATATTACAGACTAGCAAAATAATATTACAGACTAGGAGTCAGGAGAAGAGGATGAATGGGACAGTGGTACTTGGCAGGGCTCAAGGAGGATCACCTGTGTGGCTTACTGAGCGCCATGGATAAATGGTGCCATGGAAGCACAAAGAAGCTTTCCAGGAAGGAACTAGGGCCTGGGCTAGGTGTCCTCAAACTACGGTCCACGGGCCACATGCCACCCGCCTAGGACATTTATCTGGCCCACGGGGTGTTTCTGCCACTGCTACCTGTCCTGCTTAGCAGCTGACTCATCCCGGGCCCACAGTGCGCATGCGTGGAATGTGCACGGCACTCTCCAAAGGCCCTCCAACGGCCTGAGGGACAGTGAACTGGCCCCCTGTTTAAAAAGTTTGAGGACCCCTGACCTGGGCAGATACAGAAAGACGAGGAGTTTACAAGGCAGAAAAGAAGACAAGGAAGAGTAAAAAAACAAGGAGATGGCGCAGTCCAGGCAGAGGGAGGGTTTAGCGCAAAGACAAGAACTTACAAACAATCCCCTGTGATGGAGGGACGCTCCCTGTGGCTGACACAGGGTACACACGGTAGCAGGAGAGTGGGAGGAGAAGCAGGGGTGGGCGGGAGGGGAGGCTAGCCTGTCAAGTGGCACGTGCTGTCAAGGTAGGAAGTGACTGACTTGCAACTGTGCCTCAATTCTGCCAGAAAGTGACAAACAATCAGGATAGCCAGGCAAAAAAAGTGAACTCGGAGTCCTTGAAAGGCAGCACCCAATGAGCAGCTGGCTGCCAAATCGTGAGCCTGCACGGAGGACAGCATGCATTCGGGAAAGCAACTAAAAATACAAAGTACTTCAAGTGCCAAATGAGTGGTACAAACAACAAATGATACAGGAATGCAGGGGAAGAGGAGCTCTTAAATAGTGGTCAAGGAAGGAACAGACTGAGCCAGGCCTTGCCTTCCTATATAAGGCGGCTGGTGTGACTCAAAGGGACCACAGGAAAGGAATCAGAAACATTATTCATAACCTACTCCCCCACAACTGTTTGGCATGTGTAACTGATTTATACAATTGTTTTTTTTTTTTTTTCCTGGGCATATGTCTAATTGAAAGTTTTCCCTTCTTTGGGGCAAGCCTGTTTTTGCCAACCAATATCTGCTATTAATTTGCTATATGGCTCTGAGCAAACCCTTTAGCTGCCAGGTCTTGGTTTTCCACCACCTTTAAAGCACACATCACAGAGCTCACATGCAGATAAACAAGAATGCCCTTAGAAGTGCTTCGAAAAGCATGACTCTACACAGTGCCAATGTCCAGAAGTAAGTCCTTCCTGCAGGGCTTGCCCACAGAGGCCTTGGACCAGACATTCACCTTTTCCCCCCTGGACAGCTACATGTAGGACCTATAGGTCCCTCTGCTTCGGTCTTCCCCTCCATCGCATCCCACTGCGTCCAGCAAGATCTTTAGGAGAAAACTGAGGGAACAGCTCATGTGCCCCTCTTCTGCGTGCGGTCCATCAGTGCTACCCAGGGAGCGAGCTCCCCCCGCCCCCCGTCCTTACATACCTGGGCATCGCCCACACCTCAGTTACTTGCAGTTCCGTTAATAGGGTACCCTTATGACCTCCCTCCATGCTTCCTTCTGCCTGGCAGAGCAATGGTCATCACTGTCTGGTTTTACCTCACATCCCCCCAACCTCGTCCAACTGAGCTCTTTACTCAACTTATTTATGACTCACTTCATGCTTCTTGTCCACTGAGAACAAACACACACACACCATGCTAACACAGCACGAGGGCCTAGACAAAGCTCAGTGCCTACCCCACACTCAGTCTCCTCCCTGTATACCTCAGCCATAGTGGCTTGATCTATTCATTTATAATAACTTGACCCCTGCAATGAAAATGTGAACACCTTTAAATTGGATTCTTTTTCCCTCAACTTCTTTCCTAGCTTAACACAATACCTACAATTACAGACACAAAATACATATTGAGTGTTGATTTTATATATGTACACACATACACACACACACACATACATATATATATTCACAATCCTTTATCCAAAATTGTTGAAGCTAGATATGTTTGCAGAATCTGGAATTTTTACATTTTATAAAGGTAACAACAGGCGTACCCTGTTTTTTACATGATGCCACCAGCAGAGTTTGAGGAGCATCCCATGACCAAATACACTCCTTCAGCAAAATACATGAATAGTCATACTACATGGAATGAATAAGTGCTATAAATAGACGCATGTTCATTCAGATCAGATTTGACTATCACATGAGATCAGGTCAGGAGTTCTGCCAAATAAGTTATGAAAAAGCTTTTGCGTTTCAAAGCTTTGGGGACTTCTCAGCTGCAGATAACGAATTGTGGACCCGACTATACTTTGAATAATCTAAAGGTGA